TTTTAAAAATTTAAAACGTTGATTATATGCAGATACACTGCACCGGTTTTTGTCGCCGTAATGCTTGAAATCTTAAACAAAATAGATAAATAAGTAAATTTTAGCATTTATCAACCATGATATCAATAATAAAAACATGAAGCATGGATTTAAATCATGATATCTACTATTAAATGCAGGATTGCAGTATTTACATTTCCAGTTGTATAACATTCAGCTAGCATTTATAAACGTATCAATCTGTTAAAAATATATATAACATTTTGATAATACATTATTTTGTAAAAACATTTCACCAGAAGAAGTTCTAAAAATTATAAAAAAGGAAACCTTAAAGGTAAAATATAAGATTTACAAGGTTCAATTTGACTAAGCCTGTTTATTCATGATATCGTCCACACCCGCTAGCGGCGGCTGAAGTAAGCATGCTTCAATATTCAAGCTCGAAAATTGAGAAATGTTGATTGAAAATCATCTGGTAATTATCATGTAAATTCTTCTTCCAAAACAAACATGTCATGCAAACTCATGCTAGCGTCCCCTTATATAGGCATTAGCTCCGCCATCAGTACCGATAGTGGTGGAACACTGACGGTGTGTCTCGTCGAAGTTGTTGAACAGAAGGATTATACTCTGATATACTGGAGTGTATATAAGCCGTTTATATAAGGCCATATAACCTGTCAACACTCTTTATAACTAATAATATAATATAGTTACCGTATCTGTGACGAGTATCCTGTTTACAATTCCACCTTTCATGTCAACCGTGTCCCTCTGGTCGTAATCTCCTCGTATAGTTATAACAGTGCTGTCTTCACTCGTAATTACAACAATCGATGCATTCAGGGACAAGCCAGCAATATCAATGGCGGGTATTAGAAATTGCTTCCCTAATGTTTCTACAGGGGGAACCTGGAGCAAAGTAGTTTCCAATGTTCCGCAGAAAACAGCTAAAGGTCTGTCGGATTTTACCAGATGGCTTGATCCAAGATCTGCAGCATTTAAAATTATTTAACTTCACTTACATTTTAAATGACATAAATAACCGTTTGAGTAACTCTGAGTACAAGTCGATTCAATCTACCTGGAACTATTATCTGCATAGTGTATATAGTAGGTTAAGCTGGAAACTGTTGTTTAGAAACAGTACACAGCACTGAGGGCTTCGTGGCGTTATAGTAACTGTCCAGTCAGCGCGCAAACATTCTGAAGCTGAAGGATCAATGTTTGGAGCATTCGGATCATTCGCTATAATGCTAAGAGGTCTGAAATACTGTTCCCTTTTTATAAATTATACCGCATTTTATAAGAAATTATCGTGAATCGTGATTAATATTAAACAGACAATTTCTATAAACTAACAGTGGTTGGTATAATCAGGATTATTAAATGCGGTCTTGAAAATTTGTTTCATTTTTTAATCTTTTGTTGTTGTTGTTGTTGTTGTTGGTAATAACATTCTGTGTGCTCTGTTTTGAAATTAGATAGATCATTGACATTGCAAACCATTTGACACATAAAATTTAATTATTGTTACAGTGGTAGGTAGAACTGACTATAAAATTTGCCCTGCACTAGTATTTAATTATAATATAAAATTATAAGTAAGTAAGGAAACATGTATGTATATTTTATAAGTTTTAAACCTAAGTACCATCATATTCTTGCTGTTGCACCTCTGTGTTTACATCAACGAGAACGTGACCAGCATTTGTTTGTGCATCGTGTCCAATGGTGTATATGTCACAAAAAGTAGCTAAAAAATAATGGTCAAATTTGTTCAATACAACATGTACAATAGTGACATGAACTATAAAATCTTTAATTAATATATTTTGGTGGGTAGAGTAACATGCAATATATAAAGTAAAGGTTGTTTAAATACTTAAGCTCAATGAATGAATAATCGTGATGTGACAACAGTAATGCCAAAACAATTATTTAATCGAGAACCTTTGAATACAAAGGTATTATAACAGAAAATTACAGAACTTGTCTTAGATGCTTCACTAGATCTGTACTTTATTTTTTGTTTTGTTCATTTTTTTGCAGATGAACCCGGGCCTCTACGGAGTTTTTAGCTAATTTCATGGCAAACAAATGGAATTTTAGGAACACCATCTTGGAGGTTACTTAAGCTAAAATAAATAAGCAACTAATTAGAATACTCTTTCAATACTTTCTTATTTTATACTCTTAGATATAATCAATATCTATTTGATATATATAATTATAGTTTACAGATTTATAGGTGTTTCATCTTGTGTTACCAGTAAATTGTATTTGTTTGTTTATTTTTAATTGACACTTTTATTATTTTATTTGTATAATGGATTATCTATTAAGCCATTTGTTTATTTGTTTGATTGATCGGGCTTTAAGCCACATCAACACAGTATATGTCATATGGCGACTTCCCAACTTTACTGGTGGAGGAAGACCTCAGGTGCCCTTCCGTGCATTATTTCAGGCACGAACGGGCACCTGAGTAGAACCACCGACGTTCCGTAAACTAGCTGGATTAAGTTAAGTTGTAACTGTTTATTTATTTACGAAGAATATTCAATATCAACAGGAACTGAGCTGAAATAAGAGAGCGAAAACAATCCCTAAAGAAATGCAACAATCACATAACATGTGATCAGAACAAACGTGCCGAGGGGCAGGTCGATGTGGCTCTAAATATTGACAAAATTGGCTCAAGCGCCGAACGAGTAGAGGAATGATTCATACCTAGTGTTGCTTGACTGTGTTTGTAAATGTGATAAGATGTACCAAGGATATCTGTTGGATAGATTGGACCTTTTGAATCTTTTCCCGGTACAGTTGATCTATAAAGATAGACGGATATCTCCCCACCTGTAGCAGTTAGTGTTATCTGCAATTGTACACATTGAACATTATTTCAAGTAAAGTTGTAACTACTATAAAAGAGAATAACGGAATCCCTATAGAACGGCTAAAACGACAAATTGAAAATGTTGCATGATCGGTTTGATTGAGCCTGTTCATGGACGGTAATGGCAAGTGAAAGTAATGTTACCGTTCATGCCCACTAGCAAGGATTAAGCATTATTCAACATTTAACATTTAAACAAACGTGTAAGTTTAAGGTATTAGAGGTATAAATAATATTGTTTCAAAAGTCATTTAAATTTATTAAATGACACTTTATCATATTCTTGACACAAGTACAAGAACAACAAACGTTTACCATCTTGCTTGAAAATATTGACAATTTAAGTTACAATAAGAGTAATATTAAAGAACAACAAATATTTTTTATCAGTAAAAATTAGTTTTATTTCTTTTTAATTTAAATTTAGAAATGGTATAAAACAACCAAATGAAATAGAAAAAAAACACAGAATCCGTAAAGACTTCCCAAAACAAAATAAATGAACTTTTTGCAGGCTTGATGTGATTGAGCTTCTTCGAGGGTGGTACTGGAAAGTGATTGCTAGTTACCACCCTAGCACCGATTTAACAGAATTTATTATTTAAACAAGACAATGGTGAATTTTTGTATTCAGAAACATCTGCAGATGTCTTCATACGTAGGTTATCACGGAACCTTCACGTTCGTGACATAGCGACCCATGTAAAATGCGTGTGCCCTAAACGAAAAAAAAAAACAATTGGCGGAACTAAATAAAATGGAATTTTAAAAGGATTAGGGGTATGAAGCTTGCATATCACTTTAAAATCAGGCCATACATCCTAAGCTTGATTTTACAGTATTCAAGTAAGAATACTCGAACTAGTCATTTAGAATAGGTTCGAAAAGAAGGAACTAAAATACCACACACATGCACACACAGCAATTACGTTGCGTTGAACGATCTATAAGGATCATAAATATAACATCTTTAATTAATTAAATGTGCGGGTGGCGTTTTACGTCATCTGTACGGCAAAATAAAGCTGATGTGAGAGCGGAAAAGTGAAAAAAAACGAAATATTAAAGAACGCCCAAAACGACAAAACTGATAATATAATAGGGTTGGTTTAGAAATAAAAACAAGCAAACCAAAGGCAAACAAATTTAAAATAAAAAAGTCGATTTAAACAGGAATTAATCAAACGCAAAAAGGTGGTTTTATAAACAAATGATGATTATCAAGATGTAATAAATCTGAACAATTGCACCAAACAAAATATGTGAGTTTTACCATCTCAATTTTGAAAATATAAAAAATCTTAAATTGTATTACTACTTTTCCCTCATTTAACACTAAAACGTAGATATTAATTTGCAAATGTAACTTTATAGCAACATAACAATTTTGGGGATAAAAGCTTTACTATATTTGCCTACAAAACATTGAACTCACTTTGTTATAGGTAGCTTCTGTAATATCTGTGTTATATATTTGCTTCGTTTCATTTGCCAGCATTTCTATTGGAGTAAGAGAACTAGATACGTCTAGTTGGATCTTGACTGTACCATTTAAATCTCCTCTCGTTGACAGCATTGCAATGAACCCATTGTCAGTGTTATGAACAGGGAGAATGAAGTTTGAACCTTGCGTGTCCGGAGCACCTAAAATAATGTTAACATTCATTTCAATATGTCAAATTGCAATAGCATCAACATCATCAAAGTCGTCATAAACATTATCACAATTATCATCACAATCATTCTCATAATCGTTATCATTGTCATTATCATCATATACAGTTATCATCGGATTCATCGAGTAATAATTATCTTGACATTTTATTTGCCGTCAACATTAGAGGTATATTCAGTTGTGGCATAAAAACCTGGCACCGAGCTCACAACCACTATTATCGCCGTAGTCCTAGTCTTTGTTGTCTTCACCTATCTTTGCCGTCGATACCGTTGAAGATATGGAAAAGTGCATTTATTTTGATACTTGAAAGTGTCTAAGATCATATATTTATGTTTGCATCTCTTTTTCACAAGTTTTAACGATTACATCATTCCATTGGTATAACGTACTTGTTTGTGACTTTTAAATATGTACATGTCATCAGTTGATATTAAACTTTTAATTTATAAATGATATCTGCAGATTACTTGATGTTCATTTGTAAACAATATACATGTAATGCTATGATAACTTTCAATTGTATCAGCTGCTGTAGTTTTAAAGCGGCCTTCAGCATTTATTTTTTTTGTTCGTTTGAAAAATCCTGTGTTGTTTCAAACTTAGTATTTCAATAATTATATCTTTGGAATGTGCATCATGTCCCTGATATGCTGTCTTCAAAACAGCGTCCCGAGAGCTATTTATAGGGCACCAGTGACGTTCCTTTCTAAAAATAGAAGATCGGGAAAGGAATCGTCCGCATATAGAGAGCGGACCGGTAGATTAAAAGGATCGAAGGGTTTTATTATTGTTTATTATTTTATCGATGGCCACCTTAATTCGTTTGATAAGACAATTATATATAACGATTTATCTAAAAAAATATTTCAATCTAAGAAAAGCTTAAGACCGCTTTAATACAGCTAGATTTATCCCGCAACTTTGCAAATTGCATCTACAGGAACATAAATGATTTTTACGTCCTGTCAAATGTGCTGAAATGAGAATTACCTCATTTAATATTTATGTATATCATTTTATATGTCAAATCCATTTACTGACATGTTAATGTTTGTATGTAAATGAACAATTAGATTAAGCAACATTTTATGTTTCCATATATATTAGATACTTGTAATACTGTACAGTTATGTAAAAAAGAAGTTGAACTGATATACATTACCTTGAATTATTTTCTTGCAGTCCTTTTCCGGTAAAACTTAATTAATAAAAGACAGTTTTCAATTTATTTTAAACAAATATAAAAGGGACTCCATTAGGGCTTTCTGACACGACGGGACTAAAAATATATTTTTCAGAATAATGTTCAATTTGATAGAAGTCTACATCATGAACTTGTTTACAAAATTTCAGATCAATCGCACTCAGTTTTTGTAGAATAATTATTCTAATTGCGAAGAAACTACTACCCAAAATTGCAACGCTTTTCACTCAAATTGGACTAAGATTAGTTCAGAAATACGTTTTTCAATTTATTTTTAAATATATCCTTAAAAATCTATCTTTAGCATATCTTTGTTTGTAAATGTCGCAGATGATCTATGTAGAAATTATTTTAACCTCAGTAAACCTCAGTGGAGTTCCTTTAAGTATAGGTTAGTGTTTAATAATATGCATTAACAAAAATAATTGGTCAAGCCTGCCGCAGGCAGGCGACCAATTATTTTTGTTAATGCATATTATTAAACATTAACCTATTTAATGATCAACATTATTTTTTCCACCAAAAACAAGACATTTCTCTAAATCACGATAGCTCCGCCCTTTCCCTCTACAAGATGTCTACACCTTGTCAAGTTACTAACATATCACATTTAGAAAAGCTAAATAAATGACCTTTTCAACATATAATCAGGCACAATTTTTACTGAAATGTCACAGAATTTATACCTTTATCTACAGTAAGACTATCATGTTTCTATAAAATATCTGGAAAAAAAAACAGCGAGGAAAACGATGCAATTAGGTAAAAAAAAACAATGGAGTTAATGAAATGTGTACATCCTTTTAAAATAAATGGAAAATGTGAAAAAAATACATTAGAGATTATTAATTGATACAAATCCGTTTTTAGCTTCAAGTTATTCACTAACATTTAAAATCCCTATTGATTTGCTCATTTGAAAAACAGTTCTTTTTCAGTGTGAAGGGGGTCCATTTAAAATGACTTTTCCAGCCAAAAAATGTAATCATTGTATTCTTGATAATGCAGTTCATTCCTATTAGGTGGAAGAAAATAATGATTCGTTTACTTTTTCTAGAAAATATAAAGTTTAAAACAGTCAGCAATTTATAACAGACATTTTTCTTAGAGTTAAAAGGATTTAAAAAAGTTACTATGTAATCGTTTGTCTCTGCCTGCCCCACATGTATTAGTGGGGCGGGAAATTGAGAAAATAGTGCAAATTGTGATACAAGCATGAAACTTTCAGGAAATCATCTTTAGACCATGTAGATTTCAAAAATGAAGTGGGCCCAAAAATATCTCTGCTCATTCAAGATGGCTGCCATTTTCAAAATGTCCGCCATATAAATTTGACGTACATTCTAGCTCATTCATTCCATTTTTTTTGTACAGACCTTTAACTAACACCTTAAGCATGCATATACTTTCTCCTTTTCAAAAATTTTAATCTTACAAAATATTTCTTTCATACTTCTTCCAAATCCAAGATGGCGTCCAATATGGCAGTCGATTTTGTGCAAAACTGTTATATCATTTTTATAGTATAATTTGTTGCACAAATTATGTTTATTATGACAAAAAAGTGTTTAAACATATCAGAGATAATCAAATTATATGTTAATCTCCATAAAAGTAAACATTTTAAAAGTTTTTGTCTAAAAATATCTTTATAAAAGATCAAGAAAAAATTCCAATTTTTTCATATTTTTCAAATTTTATTTTCTCAAGTAATGTACAAAGTTAAAAAAGTTACTTTATATCTTAAACTGTATTTGACATTCCATTAATATCACGTGTTTATTGTAAAGAATGTAAGAAAAACATTAAATCTGTAGGTTTTATATTTTGTGAAAGTGGGTGGGGTAATTTTATATGATAATTGTAAAAGAAAAAACAACAGAAAATCTACATAGCCAAGTTCATTCTTTTTCTTTGCCTTTTTACTTTTCTATGAATTCTTATGCAAATGTCCCAACTTAAAAAGTACTTTTTATTGGATGAAAGTAATTTTTTCTTCCTTCGGGCCATTTGGTGGGTGAGCAATAAATGCACATACAAACATGTGTATACATTCAGTTATTAAATTTGGTTGCATGATAATTCTTGTTTCAATATATTTGATATCATATTTTAATTGTTAATTGTAAAGACATATAAGAAGACAATAAATCAACTAAACGTGCTTAAAATAGCAAACATGTACATGAATGTAAGGTATAAAGGTAGTCCATAAACGCATATTTTTGACTCCTCCACAATTTTATATTTATAATATAAACATGGCTTAAAAGCCATCAAAATGTATGTAATGTGAAACATATATATCAATGATATGGCCTGGCCTGCATGCAACTTTTTGAAAAGTTAAGATACAAACTAAGTGTATTTCCTAAAGTAATCATATCTTATTTTTTTCTTTCAATAAGAGGGTAATGATGACCCTGGATCACTCACCTAAGATCATTGTTGGAAAAAAGGTAACAAGATCATTTTTGGAGTGTCATTTATGTCATAACACGCATTATTTGTGTCATAATTGAATCCGGTTGCTTTTAAAGAAACATGCTAAATATCTGCTTTCATTTTTCATTCACACGAGAGGACTTTAATAACCATATTTATATACGAGTCCATATAAACTTAGTGACCTTTAGTGTTTGGTTAATTTGGACCATGTTGTCCATGATATATCATTATTATAACATAATTATGATGATACATGATTAATGTATATGCATCGGATACTGTAGGTTAAGAGAAAACAGACTTATTACAGTAGTCTTTGTAAATTAAGTGATACCATTGCAAAACTATTTTAGACTGCAGTAGCATCATACAAATTTATGCATGTTATATCAGTCTACATCCCAAATATCTTAGTTCAAGTCATTATATTTTAACACTAGATGTTTTTAATGTGTTTTCCTATACAAGTCTGTGAACCCAGGTGGCTCTATGAGCACGATTCATTAAATGTGTTAATAAAGACTCCAGGTGGTGCTACATGTGCATGCAAGCTTAGTACCTGTGCTCTATGCATTTTGATTTTTGAGAAGATTTTTTATATTGCATGTACACTTAATGATCCAAAAGTGTTTTATGTAACTTTTAAAGAGGTCTTCTTTACTTGGCAAGGTTATATTTTGACTATCTAAGCTCTAGGCATTTCAGTTTGTTTGTTTGTTGATTTTTTTTTAATAACAACAACAAGAAAACAACTTCAATGCGATTCCCTACAGAAGTCTTTAAAAACTGTGTTCCTCGTGAGGGCCTTTAAATCATGCTCCTGCAGTACAAAATGGCTTTCCCTGTCACTTAGTTTACATTGACTTATATATTAAAATTCTTCTCCGAAATTGTGTGCACAGAGAAGAGAAAATATCGTATATCATAACATTGTGATGCTATATATAAAGATTATAAACTATTGGCATAGGGTCAAAATCACTTAGTTTACATGGAATCTTATTGGAATATAGTTATATTAGTCTTCTTGTAGTTCTGAGAGCCTAGTTATTGGACATGATTCTTTTTAAATTGTTTATAAATCATGACTGGTGAAAAAAAGATACCCCTTATATGATTTTAGCATTCTTCAGTATAAAAGAATTATAGACCTTTTCCAGCATTGGGTCTTAGGCGCGTGATCTAGGGTCAACAATTCTCTCTTGTTTAATGGGAAAAATAAAGTATTTATTTTATATTCCAAAGTATAAGCTATGTTTGTTATGTGGGTCAAGCGGTTTTATTGATACCTATTTTAGCACACCTAGTCGTTAGATAATATGATGTATCAGTCGCCTAAATTTTTGTTTCTTTTGAAAATATCATGTCTACATAAGTTATTAGAAATGGACGGTACTAATTCAATTATACTTGGTTAAAATGATGTGCAAGTAAATATACATTTGAATCATTCTGTTACAAGCTTTTAGAAAGACTAAAGATGTGCAAGTAAATATTACTTTGACTCATTCTGTTACAAGCTTTTAGAAAGACTAAATTGTGCAGGAAATAATTGTATTCATAAATAGACAACATTTCACTCAGGTCCAGGCATGATTTTATCTAACATATGGTTCGTTGATGAATATTCAGTCTTCTTTCTGTACAATTATTAAATTATATTAAGAATATTGAAACAACTTATATCATGCAAACATTTAATAACTGAATGTATACATATGATTGTATCTGCATTTATTGATATTTTAGTACACCCTCTAGACCTGAAGGAAAACAAAAATACCTTAATACAATAAAATACCTTTACAGTGAATATGTGCATAAGAATTCTTAAAAAACGTTATTTTGTACTACAATTGTCTGATAAATTTACCCCACCCACTTTTAATAAGTATAAAACCTTCACATTTTTGTTTGTTTTTGTTACAATTATACAATAAAACATAGTGTTGATTGAATATCAAATACACTTTAATAAACTATGTAACTTTTGGAAATTCGTACATAGACCTAGAAAACCATGTTAGAGAAAAATGCAAAAAATTGCACTTTTTCTTTGATTTTTTAAAGAGTTTTTTTTTGTACAAAAAAACTAAAAACATGACTTACAATGTAGTTAACCTAAAATTTGATTTTTTTTCTAATATATTTCAAAATTTTATATGGAAATACGCATACCTTGTGCAAAAAATTATACTACAAAAGAGATATATCAGTTTTCATTAAAATTGGCAGCCATATTGGACGCCATCTTAGATTCTGAAGAAATATGCAAGAGAAATTGCCTAAAGATTTAAATTTTTGAAAAGGGGAAACTATATGCAAGCTTTGGTATAAGTTTCAGGTCTGTACAAAAAATTGGAATGAATGAGCTATTATGTACATCAAATTTATATGGCGGCCATCTTGAAAATAGCGGCCATCTTGAATGAGCAGAGATATTTTCTGGCCCACTTCACTTTCGAAATCTACATGGTCTAAAGATAATTTCCTGAAAGTTTCATGCTTGTATCACAATTTGCACTATTTTGACAGCAGAGACCTTATTTCCCGCCCCACTATATTATGTATGTAATAAATCAATTGATTGTATCCTCACATTTAGAAACATCTGACCTCGACTATTTTTTTTTATGTTGGCATTGTTTTGCTAACCTTAACATTTTACAATTCAGAGTGTAAACCATACCTCTAACTCCTCCCTAATATAATGCATTATTGAAATTTGTTAGACTGCGGTTAGACGACAGATTAAGTGAATTTTATTTAGTTAGTACACATTAACCAAAGTTAGACTAAGCAGAAATTTGAAAAATACTATAATGTGATTGGACAAAAAATAATGTTGATCATTAACAAGTGAGTGTGGACTATGTACATTGTATATGATAATGAGGTAACATACTTTTCAAGAGTGCTAATATCGTTTACTTTGTATAATAATTATACTATTAACAGGAATCAATAGCCTATATCTACCTTAGTTACAAACAGAGAGCTATTACTTATATCTCATTCAATTTGATATTTGTCAATATTTCATCGAAGTGCACGAGACAAATAAACATGTATTTTCATTAACCGAAATAACTTGAATTGATTGTTGCCAAGTAGTTGTATCATAATAAAGTAAATTGTGTTAAAGCAATATCTTCTTTATTGACAAAATATCTTCCACAGATAATACGTAATTAAAGTGATTAATAAACTATTGTAATGCCAATTCATTTTTAATGACACAGTGGAAGTTAATCACTGTTACTAAACGTATAAACATGGGCAAATATATTTTGAATTAGAATGTTGTATTTTTGTTTGTTTGTTGGGTTTTAAGTCACACCGATACAGTATATGTGTCATATGACGACGTTCCAGCTTTTCTAGTGGAGGAACAACGAGTACGGAGTAAGTAACTTTAGCTTATGTAATAGAAGGAAGCATCCGGCAGTTTACAGCTGAACACACTGTAATAAAACTGTAATAATACTGTAATAAAACTGTAATAAAACTGGCACCAATCCATATATAATGTATTCTAAACACTTACATATTTCAAAAGTAGCTGATCTGCCGAGTGTTGACAACGTTAGTTTGTCATAGTCGTTCGCTAGTGGAATATTGTCATAGAAAATATACGTTGAGGCGGTCGTATGCTTAAAAGAAAAACAACGTATATTTTTTATAAGCTGTGAACAATGTGTGTTCATACTTTAATCTTTTCGACCCATTAAAGCGGCATATAGTGATTTTGCATTTACGCTACGTGTACATTTTTGTATTGTTTGTTCGTTGAATTGTTGGGTTTTTAGGTCGCACCAACATGCAAGGCGTCATATGACGAGTCTCCAGGTTTACTAATGGAGGAAGACCTCATGAGCTCCTCGAAACATTATTTCAGACACACGGGCACTTGAGTAGAACAACCGACGCTCTGTAAGCCAGCTGGATACTTTCCTCACATGAAAGAACCCAAAGTTCAAGGCGGGATTCGAACTCACAGTGGTGAGGGACAACATGTTTGATGTCAATGACCCTAACCACGCGGCTTAAACCTACAATTGAAATAGGCTTACATCACTTACATGTTCACACCGGGTCTTGAACAAATATTGACATCAAAAATAATTAACTAATTAATATATAATGTACCATGCAAAAATGCAGGAATATTTTTTTTGCGTTAAATGATCTCTATAATAAAAAGAAAATTTTAGTGCTTTCAAATTAGTAAAATTTATACTACAGTTTAACCTCAACAGAGCGGACTTCTGTAAAACAATTACCTCTTTAAAACAACTATTATGTCTTCTAAAAAGTAAACATTCACAATAAATTTAAGTATCACCCCTTAGTATACAACCAAACAAATCGTTGTTCTTCGGAAATAGCAAGGTATGCTTTTTTCTGAAATAAGTATAATTTCTTTAAAAGTAAACATTCACAATAAATTTAAGCATCACCCCTTAGCAAACAACCAAATAAAACCGTGTTCTTCAGAAATTGCCAGGTATGCTATTTTTCTGAAATAAGTAGTATTTCTTCTTTAAACGTTGTAAACATTCACAACAAAAATCAACACCTCTTGACAACTTCGAAAATCTTTTTTTGTCTCTCAAAAGGGGTTTCTGTTCACAGATTTCACTATATGTTATTTGTTAACAATTATTGTGATAAAGAATACCAAAGTTAAATGGTTGTTCCATTGCAGCATGTAAGACTGCGGTGCAGAGCAATTTGACACACTTTGTGTTTGTACTATCGCCTCTAAACAAAAGTCACCGCACAATTGTACAACGATAGCAGATATTGATATCTGAAACAAAGAAATGACGTCATCATGAATTACGTAAGAATTGGTGAATGATTGTTCAAGAATTCTTATCATTCTATGTTGATTGTGATGCAAAATATTAGGAGTACCTTAGTATTAAATGTTTGTAGGAGCACTTAAAGACATAAAACAATCGTTGTTTTTTATCTTTAAGTCAGACCGCCAATAATATGGTCATATTGAGCACTACTTCCGAACATTACTTGGTGGATGAAACTTTCGGTGACCCTTCATGTATATTTTCTTGCATATCAGACTGGTTAATTTTACCCATGCTAGAAATTTCATCTGGCATGGTGGTACTAGATAAGTCGGGTAGTATAGAATGGCGTCATTTTAGCGCATCTTAATGAATGAACGAATGACGTCATTTAGGCGTATTCAAGAATGAAAGTTCGTGCCTAGGATGGCGTCATTTCGCCGTTAAGAATACAATTGTAAATTCATAGCTTTTGAAAGGAAATACATGTAGTAAGAGATAAGTGACATTAATTTCCATGAACAATATGTTATTGAGGTAAACCATTTAAAATGTTTTAGAATATGGCAGAATATGCACGAAAAAAAAATTCACGTGTTTGCAATTCAGATCAGAATATTAGTATCTCGGGTTTCCGCCAATAGGCGACAACTCGTAAAGCTTCGTTACAGCCCAATAGTCGAGGTTCCCTTGGGACGGACGGATATTCTGATCCGAGCCGTAACATACGACAGATATTATTAATTAGGCACGAACTTGCAGCTTAGTAGAACTACCGTCCTTCTATAAGGTAGCTTCCTCACGTAAAATAAAACAAAGTCCTTGGCGAGATTTGAACCATGGCGGTGAATGGTTGGGGTACGACAGGATACAGGCAGGTTATTCCTTAATTATCCTGCTACAGAGGCCCCTACTTAAATACCTTGTAGCTCTGAATATGTTATTTAAAAATTGATAATCGACTATTCAATAATTGTTGTGTTACTTACCTCTATATTCATTGTTTGGGGAAGTTCTTTATCTATTTCAAGTCTTATCCTGGCAACATCGCAAGAAATTATATTAATTTTAACATAATTTGTTCCTTTTAATGTCATGGTCTTGTATGTTACGTTACCGCTTTCTTCATCCTGTGTCGACGTAAACACAGTCACTAAAATAAAAAAAAATCGTATACTAAAAACTGAAGGTCAGAAAAAATAATAGAAAATCACAACCTTAAAAACAGATACCAAAATACGTGTATATCAAAAGAAACATATAAAAATGTAAATGTATGTTAAAATAAAGTATTTGGTAGTAAATTCAAATAAGTGATCAAATACTGTCACAATAGCACCTTTTCTTATTTTAACTATATTTTGTAACTTTATCAGCCAAGTTCTGCCGTACCTCACTCATAAAGAACACGTTTTTAAATTCATATGTGAGCATGTTATACATAGAGGATATTAAATGAGTATGGATTCAATACTAAATTTATTGTACGAGTTGAATAAAATAATATTTTGCGAGCCTCTGGCGGGCATAATATTGTCTTATTCAGCGAGTTATATAAATTTAGTATTGAATCTACAAGAATGTACTAATCCATTTTTCGCATACCCAAAAATAACGACGGTTTACAGTAAAAAGGCGCCATTTTTCATCGTCTCGCCTATAGTTTAACGTTATCAACACGTCAAAAAGATTTTACACTATGACGTAAAAAGGGACGTCACTTCAGGTTACAACGTAAAACAACGGAAAAATATCGGTTTAACATTGTAACCATATTACTGACTTTTTAAAAAAATGAAAAACATGTCGAGAGATATTGACGTCAGGGTTAACATGTCATTAATTTAAGTGATTTTTCCATTATATTTAATAAAACAAATGGAATATTCAAATTTGGTGGGACATATTTTAGTATAATATCGTTTTTATTTAATTGCAATATTACCTCCTGCGCCGTGGTTTAAGTGAAAAACAAAGTAAGTACACATAATGTATACAGATTGCATATGATTGTATTACTACTCACACTACGATACCAAAACAAGGGCTGTCACAGACAGCTAAGGATTCTAGTTATAAACCACCTATTACATGTTAAGTTGGGTGGTAAAAACTTGACAAAGTTTGAATCCCAGCAGTGACCTTTAAATAAAACAAAGGAACCTGGGTCTTGTTCACAAATCATTGTCCATCTATGGTCACTTTATATTTTTTAAATAAAAATTGAAACATTCATGTATATGGAAGTTACAAAGCGGACACAACAACCACCACGCGAAGGAAAACGGGTCTTAAGGGCAACACATCATACATTTATGATTATTTCATATGTGAAATCAAAAAAATAGTTCTTTCAAGCATATTAGCTTCAGAGCAGACAAGACCATCTCTGCCTATATGTACGAGGGGAAGTCAGAAAATATCCGGACTTTTGACTCGTTCTCGAAAACCATTCAACATTTAAAAAAAAATCTTTCTACTCTTTTTCAAAATATTCTCCACCTACGTCTACGCACTTTTGCCATCTTCATGGGAGCTTTCGTATTCCCGCTGTGAACCATGACGTAGACCTATGTTTTAGGTACTGTGTAACAGCAGATATCAAAGCCGCCCTGGTCATTATATTTCTTTCCAGCAAGCAATTTTTTCAGTTCTGGAAACAAATAAAAGTCACAGGGGGCGAGGTCTGGGCTGTAAGGAGGGTGAGACAACAATTGCCATTTGTAAGAGTTGATAACCTCCACTGTAGCTGCGGCGGTATGGGAGGGGGCGTTATCGTTAAGAAGGAGGACATTTTTCTGTGCTAACCTTGCTCATGCCTAGGTGTTCGTGTAAAATCTTATGTGCCGATACCTTACCGATGCTAAACTTGTTGGCTACTTCCTCCAAAGTTACTCAACGATTTTTGTTGACAAAAGCTTTAACATTTGCTACCATTGTTGGTGTCACCGTCTCAGCTGGCCGCCCAGTCCTAGGCCTGTCACAAACACTTGTTTTGCCTTCACGAAACTGAGAAACCCAGTTGTAGAAGGTTGAACGTAATACACATTTATCAGAAAATCTTTTTTTAAGCCTCTGAAAGATGTGGCAGGGCTTATCACCTTCTGCAACCAGAAACTTCAGCGTTGTTCCTCTAACAAAGAGTCCATGATAGACGAAACACCTATCATATAGCAGAGGGCAAAATACTGTGTATATACAACTATCATTGAAAATAAACTGACCACGTTATTGGCGAATGAATGTAGTTTTCACCAATATATAATGTGTGTATATAGGTGCACGATAGGTGGAAAGAGAGGAACATGAAAAGTCCGGATATTTTCTGACCGTCCCTCGTATATTAACATAAAAATTGACAAAGTTTGAATCCCCACAGTGACCTTGATCTAAGACGTAGAAACCAGAGTCTTGTTCGCGGCACACCATACATCTATAATTATTTCATATATAAAAGAAAGATTACAATCCTTTCATGCATACTGAAGTTTCAGAGCCGAAATTACCACCACCGTCTATATATATATAACATAAAAAAGTTTCAACCCCCACAGTGATCTTGATCTTAGTGATAGAAACCCGAGTCTTGTTCGCGACACACCATACATCTATTGTTAATTTATATGTGAAAAAAAAACTACAATCCATTCATGAATACTGAAGTTTCAGAGAGGACACAACCACCACTTTCTATATTTTTAACCCATAAAAGGTTTAAACCCCAACAGTGACCTTGACCTTAGTGGTAGAAACCCGAGTCTACTTTGCGACACACCGTACATCTATAATTATTACATATGTGAAAGAAAAATTAAAATCCGTCCATGCATACTGAAGTTTAAGAGCGGAAACGACCACTACCTTCTATATTAATATAACATAAAATGACAAAGTTTGAACCCCACAGTGACCTTGACCTTAGTCGCAGAAACCCCAGTCTTCTTCGCGACACACCAAACATCTATAGTTATTTCATATATGAAAGAAAAAATAAAATCCTTTGATGCATACTGAAGATTCAGAGCGGCCAAAGCCTCCACTTTCTATATATATTTATATAACATAAAAAAATGACAAAGTTTGAACCCCCACAGTGACCTTGACCTTAGTGGTAGAAACCCGAGTCTTAATCGCGACACACCATACATCTATGGTTATTTCATGTGTGAAAGAAAAATTAAAATCCTTTCATGCATACTGAAGTTTCAGAGCGGACACGACCACCACTGTCTTTGTGTATAAAGCGGGACGGACAGACTGACAGACGGACTGAGAGACTGACAGACGGACGGTTTGATTTTAATATGCCACCCTTCGGGGGCATACAAAATGGCAAAGGTTTGTAAGCATACCAAGATCTTCAGCTATACAATTATCTTCATCAATATCACCGTCACAGTCATTATCCACATTATCTCCTGGTGATACAACAGATGGTACGCATGCCTGAAAATATGACGTCATAATATTTGAGTGAGACTATAAAAAACCAAACTCCACGCAGCGGTTTTTCCCCTGATCAGTACAGTTAAAGTAGCAAAGTGTGACGTAACCGCTGTGAGGAGTTTGACAAAAAAGTGTTGGATTTAACTTATTGTATCATAGTTTGGGGATCTTTCTGTTGAAAATGTGTCAGAGTTAAATCGTATACATATATATGCACAGTGCGTTAACTGGAGTGCAGGTATTAGTTACCCGCACTCCAGAGCATGCCCATTGATTGGCTCATTTTTGCTGAGGTTTACATATTGCGACGGCAGAGGAAGGGAAAGCGACAGAAATATCACATTCAGATGTTCGTTCATTGGTTCCTTTTTCCCGGGGTTTCATATTGTGACAACAGGGAACGTGTTTTTATGTTTGACTATGATACAAAAGAGAAAGAACATCAAAACACTCGGCAATCTGATTAATACTCGGGGGGCTACGCCCCCTCGTACAAATCAGATAGCCTCGTGTTTCGATGCTCTTTCAATTACACACAGGATTGGAGCAGATATCGTTATTAGAAAATATACAAATATCGTTTTTTCGTTGATTTTTATTTTTTTTTATTCATTATCGTACTGAAATCTGTAGATCGGTGTGAAAAGATGAATTAGACCTTTTAAAGATCATTCCGTTAGGTAAATAATCAAGATTTAAGCATTTTATCATTCAAGCGCCGTGTTCGGTATATGTCGGAATACGGTAATTAGTGTGGTGCCCTCACACTCAAAAGTCATTCGGAACTGCCTCGGCTATTAACTATAATAACCTCGGAAACAATACGGATTGAAAGTGGTTCTACCACGTGGTTTCAGATGTAAACAGAAACAGAGATAATGTTAAACGAATGTATATATTTGACTTCCAATGTCTGTTCCGGTACTCTCTTGCTAAAAAATATGTCTGACAACAATTTGTAATTTAAATATGCCCACTGATGTTCAATTTTAAACAATCCGACTAAATGTCAACAGGTTGGTTTTTTTGTACTTACGGTTTCTACAATCATAATAATAAATATATAAACAATGTATTGTTTGCTTTTGTACCTATGGATTCACTTATTTCAGGTGGACTTTTACTACATATATTGGAAATAAACTTGTCAACAACCCCCAGCATTAAATTACTATTTGTTTACATGTTTAGTTTCTTAGGTTAGTAGGTTAGTCCGAAATACCGCATCCGTTCTGTGTATTTATACTATTGTGTTCGAGGTCCTTATCCGAAGACTGACGGAAAGGGCCGAGTAGTTGCGACTGACCACACTAAAATCCGTTTTCCTGTATAATAACGGCGAATCTCGCCTACGTCTACGGATAAATTTGTAGAATCTGATAATATTCTTTGTGAAGAGCAAGCCGGGTTTAGAAAGAAATACAGTACAGTTGATATTATTTTTTTCACTTAAATGTTTAATAGATTTGTACTTGGCTAACAAAAGAAAACTATTTTGTGCTTTTATTGATTATAGAAAAGCCTTTGATTCTGTAAATAGACTTGCTTTATGGAACAAGTTATTAAGTTCAAATATAGATGGTAAATGTTTTAAGATAATACACAATATGTATGAAAATATAAAGTCCTTTGTTAGAGTCAGTGACCATTTTTCTGACTTTTTCTCAAGTCTGGCTGGCGTCCGACAAGGAGAAAATTTATCCCCAGTTTTATTCTCTTTGTGTTTAAATGACTTGAACTCGTTCCTGTCTCAAAGATTTGAAGGTTTAAATTTCCTGTCTAACAGTGTTAGTAACACTTTAAGCACAGATGATTTTGAAGTTTATCTTAAATTGTTTATGTTGCTCTATGCTGACGATACAGTTATTTTAGCTGAAAGTCCTAATGAGTTACAAAAAGCATTAAATGCAATGTCTGATTACTGTAAAACTTGGGTTTTAAAGGTAAACACTGCCAAAACAAAAATTGTTGTGTTCTGTAAAAGTAAAAGGGGGTGGAATAATATTAATCCTCTAGAATTTGAGGGTAACATACTTGAGATTGTAGATTGTTTTGATTATCTTGGGGTTCAGTTTTCATTTAACGGAAAAATTTTAGGCACAAGAAAAAAACTGATTGATCAAGCTCGAAAAGCTATGTTTTCTGTGTTAACAAAGTCTCGGAAACTTTCTTTACCATTTGATATACAATTGACTTTATTTGATGCAATGGTGGCTCCGATTATTTTATATGGATCCGAGGTCTGGGGAGTAGAAAATGTACAAATAATTGATCGTTTCCAATTGAAATATATTAAATTAGTTTTCGGACTGAAGCAATCTACCCCATCATGTATGATTTATGGCGAGCTAGGAGTATTGCCTTTGTCTTTGCAAATTAAGTCAAGAGTTCTGAACTATTGGGGCAAATTGATTTATGATAAAAAAGATAAAATTTGTTCTATGCTGTATTGCATGTCAAAGAAACTTTACTCTGATTTTGATGTGGATTTTCCTTGGTTGAAATTTGTGCATACTTCTTTAGATTCTCTCGGTCTGTCAAGTTATTGGATTTTTCAAACAGTTAGTTCTGTCCCACATTTTAAGAAAATTATTTCTGCTAGAATTAAGGATCAGTTTATTCAAGATTGGCAATCTTCTATTCATGAATCCAGTAAATGTCTGAATTATAGAATTTTTAAAACTCAATTTGGTTTTGAAAAATACTTAAACATTTTACCATCAGATTTAGCAATAGCGTTTTTCAAATTTAGATGTATGAACCACAAAATGCCAATTGAAACAGGTAGATTTTTTTAATTTGGATAGAAGTCTAAGAGTGTGCTGTTTATGTTCTGATAATTTGTTAGGTGATGAATTTCATTATTTTTTTCAGTGTTCCTATTTTCAACACCTGAGAAAGACATATTTAGACAATTCATTTTTTCATAGACCTAACATTATTAATTTTTCAAATTTAATGAATAGTGAAAGCAAAAATGTTTTATTCAATCTAGCAATATTCTGTAAGAAAATAATCTTTGTGCTTAATAATACTTATTGATATATTGTTTTCATTTTGATCTCATTCTCCGATTCTAAATTGTTAAGTATAAATATGTTATATTTTTATTCTATTTTTTATTCTATTTTGTTCTCTTTTTTTATGTACATAATTATGTTCATAACATTGCCATTTCAATTATGTATCACTTTACTTTGTTTTGTAAACATTTGTTATATTGTTGTTTTCTCACATGCCCAGTTGGGTCTTGAGATGTCAATAAAAACTTGAAAACTTGAAACTTGGGTATATGTACTACTCCAACAATCCAAAATATTTTAAGATCTTTATAGTTGTCTGTAAACTAGACCGTACCATTTTCTGTAATATCATTCGCTTAAATAAGTCATGAAACATTTATTTCAAGTAAGCAAGAAAAAGAATTTTCAATGTTAACCTTTTACATACGAAGTGCTTACTATTTAAAGTATTTGTTAGTACAATATTATATTTCTAAAATCAATCAATAACATTCTTGAGAATTGGTATTATAATTAACATTGAATAAACAAAAGCTTGAAAGAACAAAATTATCAATGTGTTTGTTATTTTTTAAACATCCTCTGTATTTTTGTCTTTTATTCATTTTTATTTAGTTATTTATCTATAATTTATTTATTTATTTATTTATTTTTATTCATTCATTCATTCATTTATTCATTTATACATTCATTTATTTTATTTATTTATTTATTTATTTATTTATTTATTTATTTATTTATTTATTTATTTATTTATTTATTTTATTTATTTATTTATTTATTTATTTATTTTATTTTATTTATATATTTATTTATTTATTTATTCATTCATTTATTTTTTTTTATTTCATTTATTTATTATTTATTTATTTATTTATTTATTTATTTATTTATTTATTTATTTATTTATTTATTTATTTATTTATTTATAATTATATTTTGCAGCTAATCAAGAATTGAAGCACATACATATTGCTTTCTGCTTATATACGGATGATTAAGTTCATCTTAATAATTATTCTGGTCTTGTTCGCAATCAATAAACGTGATACAATAATAGGAGCCGCGTCATGACAAAACCAACATAAAAGGGCTTTGCGACCCAGCATTTGGGAAAACCAAAGGGCCAAACCGCGATCCGCGCTGCCTTTTCCCCATCAGCTTCTCTACTTGGTTTTAGGGTTTTGTAAGCGGGGAAAAGCCAAAGGTCTGATCAGACTGCGGGATGGGGCCCCGCTGGTCGGATCCATTTCGGTTTGCAAAAACCCTTATTTTTTGTCATTTGGGGCAGCTCCCAAATTTGCATTATATTCCCAAAAGGGTTGGGATATTGCATACAAATAAAAAAAATTTCTGGGAAATTTCCCGTAAAGTGATTTTTCACGGCGGAAAAAAAAAGAAAAAATACCAAAAAAAAAAAATTATAATTATATTAAAGGGATCTCCAAAAACATTGAGTTTAATTTACAGGTTAAAATTGTTAAAAAGGTTTTTAAGTATTGTAAAAGTTAAAATTGTTAAAAAGAGCCATATGCATATGTAGTAGAGCAGAATAATTTATCATTCTTGTGTACTGCATACCTCTTTAGTGAGATCTATCCACATATGAAGTTTCATGTTGATATCTCAAAGGCTTTTTGTAGTTATGCTCTGGACGAAATTAAGTATGAAAAGTAACAAAGGGCAATTATAACCTGAAAAATAATGCACGGTTAGGTCTGTGTGCCGCACTTCTCCTCAATGAGATTTTATCCACCTATTGAAGTTTGACGTTTAATACCCCTAACACTGTTTGAGATAAGCTCCGGACAAAAAGTTTTGAAAAATAACAAAGGGCAATAACTCACAATTTATAAAGGGTATCATTCTTGCGCACAACATTCCTCCTCAATAACATCAATCCACCAATGAAGTTTCATGTTGACATCTTCAAAAGGGACCTTTTGAGTTATGCTCCACTCAGGTGAAAAATTTAAGTATGAAAAAGTACAAAGG